AATGTCAATAAATGCAAAATAAGCAATTAATACATAATCAAAGGTGAATGAAATCAGTTATAATTCATCCTAACAAAAAAAAAACATTTATTCAATCATATTCTCAAAATTAAATATTTAAAAGATTGAAAAGATCACCTGATTTAATGCAAAGAACAAAGAAAACGATCCTAGCAATTTTTGTTCTTTAGTACCTAATTTTCAACAATGGATCATCAATCTATTCTTCAAATCATGTATATCTCCAAGTCAATTGTGTTCTATAACCTTCAAATCATGTATATCTCCAAGTCAATTGTGTTCTATAACCTTCAAATGCCAAATTTTGATATAAAGCTTGAGAATTTAATCTAGTTTGACGCATAATTTTGTCACGAGATAGTTTAGCATCCTTCTCTCTAATTCATTAGAGTCTCGAGATGACAAGGATCATAAGGTTTTTGAAGTTGACCTTTGTATCTAGGCACAAGACAGGGACGCCTAGGCACGGATGGTGAAAGATTGCAAGATTGGTGGGCAAAAGAAAATAGTAATACAATAAAGGATTGTTCATTACTGCCAACAATGGTAGGCTTACACAATTGGGAAGGCTAGATAATGCCATGTATGCAGGCAAGGCAAAAGCATGAAAAATATTTTTTTTCATGGGATTAGAAGAAAGAGTGACTAAGAAGGGGCTTCCAACTGGAATCAATGGCGCGTGGCCAAGATGCACCCACAAAGAAAGCATAGGCAAGTAGTCACTTGGCTTTTGCGGCTATTCCTATTCAAAGTGGATACAGAGTTTACAATTACCTCTCCTATCACACCGAGAACCCATGGATCATAAAATACTAAAGAGGAGTGATTTTGTGGTCCTACTTAGGGCTGGACAAAACTCCCGAACCTAACCGAACCCGAACCGAACAGAACCGAACCCGACGGTTCTTCTCAAATTAAATATCCGAACAGGTATTTGAATCAAGAATCGACGGGTATGGTTCGGTTCTCGATTTTAGGCCAAGACCTGAAAAACCGAATAAGAATCGAATCTCCGTAATTTTTTTAATTAATTTATTTTAAATAAGTAAAATTATTTTATTTTTTCTAAATAAATTTGTTAATTAGATAATTTAGTTCAAACCACAAAATATGATTTTCCTATTTCTAATATTCACTTCAAAATCGACTTAATCAAATTGACCTCAATTTTATCCAAATCTGTTATTCTACTGTAGTGTCGTTTCTACGGGAGAAAATCGAATTAAAGCTCTACAACATATCTTTTAATTATTTTGAGCTCGCTATCTTTCTCTTTCTGTGATTTTAATAATCAAGTTTATGAAGAATTCAGTAAAGAGAGACGTGAAACACATAAGATTGAACTACGTTATTTTGTAAGAGCTAATATTAAATATATCATTAATTAAATTAACGTAACTTTGTATATATTAAAAAATTTAATTATAATACGAAACCGAATGGAACCGAATCGGATCGAACCGAACCGAATGGAACCGAACCCGAACGGTTCCGTAATTAAATTTGGACCCGACGGTTCCATTTATTAAATACCCAAAAATTTCGGGTCGGTTCGGTTCTCGTCAGAACCGAACCGAACCGGACCATGTCCAGCCCTAGTCCTACTTTCCTTTCTTAGAACTGTCGAGTAGATTCAATGCAATCAGTCCGATCAAAGGCTCATAGGAAGTGAACTCAAAGTAAGCAATGTTGGGAATCTACTTAACATGCATAGTGGAAAATTAAAACAGATTTCGATTCTCACCAAGAATCGTTTTTGTGTTTAGATAGAAATTGTAATAAGATTGTACTTTTTCCAGATCTGCAAACTTCTTTGCTATTATTTTCGTTCCAACAATCTTGATTCGCCACCCACAGCTATTCAATTGTCTAACCTCCAACGGTGATCCACACAGAGAACAAGATTGTAGCTACCAGGGGTTTCTCCTCTTATACTAGCAAGAATAATTATGAGAAAAACATATGGATTGAAAACTCTAGCCATGTATTTATACAAGCTCAAATGGGCCTGGTCCGGTCCGGTCCGGTCCAATATTTAATTAATCCATTTAATTAAATCCAGTCTGTGAATCAATTAATTAATTCGGGCCTATAAATAACCGAATCAATTAATTAATTTAT